ATGTCACTGAGAAATCCCGTGGGAGCTGGTAGGGATTGAAAGGGTGGTCAGAAGCCCCAAATTTTAGTATAAAAAAGCAAATGAACAGACATTCAGCCAGCCGACACTGATGTCCTCACGCTGAGAGCCTGATGAGGACCTGGACTGACATCCCAACTCTTCTCATCTTTTGCCTGTTCCTCAGCATCTTCCTCACTGTTCTCAAACTCTACAGCCACATCTTGATGGTGAGAGCCACTTCTTCTCCCTAGGACCCTATCCTCAACTGGCTGTCAGCTCCACCCTAGGAGAATCCTGCCTTGGGTCCTGACCTGATCAGGGCGGTCTGAGTGAGTGTGCATCTGCTAGACTTTTGATCTGACACTTGAGCTTAGCATGCAGAGGGAGTGTCTGTCATGAGCCTGTCATGATTAAGTGTATTTGGCGTGCTTAGAATTAATCTAGAATTGTTTGCTATGAATTGATTATGTCTATTGCAGTGCCTAACATTAAGGATTGTCTTTTTTTTTTGTGTGTGTGTGTGTGTGTGTGTGTGTGTGTGGTGCTGGGAATTAAACCCAGGGCCTTGTGCATGCAAGGCAAGCACTCTGCCAACTGAGCTATAGCCCCAGCCCTGTTATTTTCTGGATTAAGAACCTATAGAATGAAATGGTATTGAGTGATTTGAGTTGAGTGAATAAAGCATTGAAAAGGGCAGAAGCACGTGGACATTCTTTATTTCTCCCCCTTGACTGCATAAGTTGGGACACCTTTTCTGGTCCTCATTTACACCTCCTTTTCCCCAATACCCCTTTACCCCTACACAACATCATTCTACCTCCTGTTCCCCCACAGTTGAAGGAACCTAACAGGGGACAACCTTGTGTTGTTGTCCCCTCTCTTCACAAACCCCCTCATAGGTCTCCTACACCATCCTGACTCAGTTCAGGGGTACCTTAAACATCATGGATTTGGGCATGCTACCACCCTCAGCTGTCCAAGAGTTGGATGCCGAAGGTCCCAGGTTTGAAGGATTACACACCAGAAAGACCTTGGGACCACCTCAACATGTGTTATAATTAATAACTTAGGTATGCCAAAAGGGGAACACACAGAACATCCCCCCAACCCTGAGCTCAAAAACCCAGTTGGGAAGTCAGGTACCTGAATCAGAGTGACTGAAAATGGAAGAACTGGGGGGCACAGCGTGGAGAGTGTGGACCTCTTATGCCCAGCTGGGGGGCCAGAAGAAATCCAGACATCTTCCCTGATGGTCTTGAGAAGGAGGAATCCACAGAAGGGCTTCCTGCTTTGGGCTCAGCCTCCATGCCATTGCCTTCACCCCCTCTCCCACTCTTCTATGAGCAAGGTCCCAAGGCCAGAGGACCCCTTCATCTCTGTTCAACTCCCTGAGAAGGTAGCAGCCAGGGAACATAAACCCCTGTCACCCCTGAAGTAGCTGAAGGGAACCTCAGGCCCCGGAAAGGCTCAGGCAGGTGGAGGGACAGGGCTGAATAGAAGTGTTCCCCAATCCTCAGCCTCACTGGCAGGCCCGGAAAGTGCTGAACTCTGGGGGCTCTGGTGAGGATGATGTGGAGGTGGGCCTCTTTCGGGGCCCACAGTTGCCAGCGCAAGCATCTAGGGTGGCTGCTGGGTCTTCTTCTGAAGTCATTTTCTTGGTCCATGAAAGAAAAAAATCAGAAGTGAGTGATTTGGAGCATCAGAATCAGGATTCCCCCACGTTCTGAACCTGATACTACTTCAGCCCATCAGGTCTTATGTCAGCTCCTCTACCTCTCCACACCTGAGCCTCAGGGACCTGCTCCTCCTGTCCTGGTCTTCTGTTCTCCAGGGTTCCTCCCTGCTGAGTAGAGGACCTGAGAGCAGGAGTCCAAATCCCAGTTCGGTCACTTCGTGGCAGTGTGAACTTGGTTGAGTGACTTAATCCCCTTTGCTTCAGTTTCCCCTTTTGAACATGGAGAGAATGCTAGTACCCACCTTCTAGGGTTGCTATGAGACTTAAAGAAGTACAACAGATAAACAGTGGCTGACACCTCTAAGCTTTGTTAAAGGATGAACACATCCATTGCCGCTCTCCTTTGTTTCTCCCCTTCTGAGTACCTCAAGATCTTCAAGATCCACCCTCTTCCCTATCTTGAATACTTGAAACACTAGTCAAGGACAAATGAACTTACTAGAAATTAAACCAAGTGGTTGAGAGCAGGTGGGGTTCCAGCCTGCCTCTCCCTAGCTGGGAGACTACAGTAACGTCCAAGTCCAACCTCAGGGAACTTCTTTGTAAAAAGAAACTGTCAACCTCACTTAGCAGGATGTTATAAAGTTGCATATCAGGCCCTCTGCAAGGCAACAGTAAAAACTAGAGTCAGCTACTTCATAGTCATTTCAGCCAACAGCAGAGCTTTACAAAGCTTCAAAAAGAAACTAAAACTGATTGTGCTGGCGCAGCAGCCTGTAGTTTCAGCTACTCAGAAGTTGGAGACAGAAGGATCACAAGTTTGAAGGCCAGCCTGAGCAACTGAGAGGGACCCTGTCTCAAAATAAAAAGAGCTGGGGATATAGCTTAATGGTAGAGTAATCCTGGGTTCAATCCCAGTACAGCAAAAAAAAAAAAAAAAAAAAGCCATTTATATTACTTACCCTTAAATGACCATTTGAAGGGACCATTCTTTAAGCAGAAGAATGACAGGCTAAAGTTCTGAGGTGGTCTCTCTGTGGTCCTTCACATCGCCTTAGAACAATGTGATGTATTTTGGGGTTCACTCTTGGCTTACTCTTGTTTAATTTCAGGGACTTCACCTTTAGTGTCCCACTGTGGTTTTCCATGTAGGGGGAGGGTCAGAACCCCCTACTTCTCAAGAGGTGTCGCTCCTCCCCTGTCACACAAAAAAGCTTTTTTTCTTTTTCTTTCTTTCTTTCTTTTTTTTTTTTTTTTTCTGTGCTAGTGATTGAACCCATGGCCTTGTGCATGGGAGGCAAGCACTCTACCAACTGAGCTATATCCCCAGCCCAAAAGATTTTTAATCTTTTAAATTGGGTGTGGTGGCACATGCCTGTCATCCCAGGGACTCAGGAGATGAGGCATGCAGGAGGATCTCAAGTTTGAGACCAACCTCAGAAACTTAGCAAAGCCCTAAAGACTTAGCGAGATCCTGTCTCAAAATAAAAACATTTTTTTAAAAAAGGCTGGGGATGTAGCTCAGTGGTTAAGTGACCTCGGGTTCAATCCCCAGCATAAAAAAAAAAAAAAAAAAAAAATTGTGGGGGTATGTCCCCAGATGGCATCCTGAACATTGCAGATTCTCATGGAGTTTTAGAGCCTGCCTGGCCGGATGTGTTTGTCTTCATGGCTCAGGATTTGTTCTAGGAACTGAGACCTCAGAGAGCTTAACCAGCCAGTGCCAACCCCCCCTCCTCTTACCATCTGTATATCTGCCACCCCGAGTCCTTATCTCTAGCCTTGCCCTCTCTCCTGGCCTCCGCTCTCAGGCTCCACCTGGTGCTGATGCGGTTGCAATATCGGTTCTTATCCCTCTCAGCCTGCCCTTCCTCAAGGCTTCCTCCTTCTCTTTTGGACCGTTCGTTTCCCATCACCAGGATCTACCATATTCGATTCTTCAACCTCTCTTGCCAACCCGCGGAACCAAACCACCACTCTTTCGCGGGCCTTGACCACGGACGGTAGTTGCCTGCCGAGCTCCAGCCGCCTGCCTGCCACAATCTGTTTGCCCGAAGGAACCACCAGAGGGCGCCTGTGCGCACCCGAATCCAGTCTACTCAGAACCCCTCCAGGGCTTTCATTTTACCTGAGCAAAGTCAAAGTTCTGTAACATTCACGTGTCCAAATGGGACGTCTGAGGCCCCCTAGTGGAGCTCCCTCTGTGGAGAGGAACTGACTGAACATTTCCTTGATCCGTGGAGTTCATGGGTCAGATATCACAAATTCAGTTAATAATAATAAAGTTTATAAGTGCCACCCCCCAAAATTTAACTATGCAGAGGAGTCCTATAGACCCAGTTTTGAATCCCAGCACTGGCACTGTGTAACAGGGGAGGAGCGACACCTCTTGAAAAGTAGGGGGTTCTGACCCTCCCCTACATGGAAACCCACAGTGGGACACTTAAGGTGAAGTCCCTGAAATTAAACAAGAGTAAGCCAAGAGCCAACCACAGAATACATCAGATTGTTTAAAGGCGATCTGAAGGACCACAGAGAGACTACCAAGTTACCTTGACTACTCTCACCATTCTGACACATTTTCCTAAATCCAAAGGGAGCACTGACCATGACAGTATATACCCCCATATGATAACCTTGTCCCTGGGAATTTCAGTCAATCCTGGGCTCACTGACAAACCCCACTTTGGGGATTCTATGCTTTTTCCTAATCCCAGAGCTCAGAGTCCTGGGTAGACCCAGGCTGAGGGTGGCCTCCACCTGACCAGGTAGGATGGTCAGCAGGAAAGGGGAACCAAAAACAGGAGCCACTCACCGCGGAGATGGCAAACAGGGAGTTATCGAAGGACATGTCTGAAAAAGAAAGGAAAACCAGGATTGGAGCCAGTTTTCACTGTGCACCGCCCTAATCCTCTCACCTCTGCCCACATTCCCCAGTTCAAAGTCTAAAGAGGGGCAAGAGTGGGACCTATCTCCCAGCAACCTCTCCTGCTCCCTTCCCACCCATTCTGCAACTGAGCAGTGAATCTAAACTACATTTTGAACCATGCCTCTGTCCCCAAGCCTTCTGCCAACTCCCACCTTTCAGAAGGAGCACTTATCAGCCCACCCACTCCCCAGCCCACGCCCCATTGCTAGATGCCCCCCCTCGTCACCCAGGTATGCCATGCTCCTCTTAAACACTCCTCTCTGCTTAAGCACGGCTTCCTCCAGGGGCTGCCTGCCTTTTCCCAGTTGGCTCGGACCTGCCATCCGCTCTTTCCCCAATGGCGTCTGGGCTGTCTATCTTGGTCATCATAGAACACTCCTAGACCATAGTAGGCGCTCAATAAACGTGTCATGCAGTTAATCAAGCATAAAGAATGAAGTTTTCTGCGCTTGGGCCCCTTTCAGAGAGCATCCCACACCACAGACCAGCTGCCTCCCGGCCCCGGTGGAGGCCAGAGGAATGACAGGGTCTGCAGGGCGAGCGGGCCATTCACTGAAGACCCGCAGGACCCAGGCTTAGGCGGTCCTTCCCGGTGGAGCTGGCCATTTAGCGGTGGAAGCAAGCGAGTTATTAAATACACAAGCATCCAGAGATTACTTTTTTTTTTTTTCCGGTGTTGGCAATAGAACCCAGGGCCTCTCGCAGGCTGGGTAAGCACTCTAGCATTGAAACTCAGACCCCAAAGATGATGTCATTGGGTTTCTACCAAGGGTAAGAACAACAAGGTAGTAGAGGCAGGTAAGTAGCAAGCGCAGACCCTGTCTAGAGAGCCTGGTGACCAAGAGGAGGTGACTGAGACCCAGGAGATGGAGAATATTCTAGGCAGTGGGTGGAGCCAATGAAAGGCAGGCGCCTGGGACCTGGAGAGAAAGTGAGAATCCAGGGAAAGGAGGGTGAGGGTGTGTTTTGACCCTAACAGAGCTGCAGAAAAGGTTCAAGTCACCATAGCATTTTGAGGCAGTGACCTCATCCTGTGGAGGTCAGGAGCAAGGAGCACAGACCTGCGGTGGTGAAGTTAATCTGGGCCCAACAGGATTCCTGTTCTCTGCAAAGAGATTCAAAAGAAAGGTTGCCTCATGAGACAGGAGGCTTCTGGAAAGTCCTAGACCCAAACCAGGCACAATACTGGGTCTTTGACCCCCTACCCACCTACACATCCTACCCACAAAGTGACAAAGCAGTTAATGCCCTGATTTCCAGAGCTATCACCCTGTGCAACAGTCCTTGGCTGTCAAGAACCAGGCCCACTTCTAGTGCAATTTGGGCACTGCACAACCCCAGTGGGATCCAGAACAGCACAACAATTCCTGGCAGCTGACTGTAAGGGGAAGACTAAGCCACTTGCTCCCTGTGTGACTAAGCACTGAGCCTCTGTCCTCTCATCTGTAAAATGGGGTTATTCATTATTCCTACTTCCAGGGCTGTGGGGATAAGGTGGGATCACTTCTAGCACAGTGCCCAACACCTAGTAGGTGCTTAACAAATACCACCTGTCTTTGTTCATCAACTCTCCCACCAGAGGGTGCTGTTTGCAATGGAAAGCCCACCCAGCCAAGGGAGTGCCCTTCTGATCCCAAACCATTCTATGAGGGTCCCTAGGGATGGTCTTACCGTTTTCTCTGTAAATTTTTTATTTTCACTGAAAAATAAATAAACAAGCATTTGTTAGATTATGGTTCTGATTGCACCAAACAAGTTTCTACACCCAAGAAATCTAAAACTCCTTTTTACTTCTGTAACCCAGTCTTGCCTCTCTGTGGCAAATTTGCCACTCATTGTGAAACTTACTGCTAACAAGCACTTTTGTTTCTTTTTTCTAGATGGGGTCTCACTGTTGCCCATATAATCACCTCCAACTCACCATTCTCCTGCCTCAGTCTCCTGAGTAGCTGAGTCACATGTCACCACGCCTGAATCCTTTTTTTTTTTTAATTCTTCAATTACAATAGTAATGTATGTTGATAAAAACTTTAAGCAAGGTGGGAGGGAAAGGGAGAGAGAAGGGAAATTGCATGGAAATGGAAGGAGACCCTCAGGGTTATACAAAATTACATACAAGAGGAAGTGAGGGGAAAGGGAAAAATAATACAAGGGGTAGAAATGAATTACAGTAGATGGGGTAGAGAGAGAAGAGGGGAGGGGAGGGGAGGGGAGGGGGATAGTAGAGGATAGGTAAGGCAGCAGAATACAACAGACACTAGTATGGCAATATGTAAATCAATGGATGTGTAACTGATGTGATTCTGCAATCTGTATACGGGGTAAAAATGGGAGTTCATAACCCACTTGAATCAAAGTGTGAAATATGATATATCAAGAACTATGTAATGTTTTGAACAACCAACAATAAAAATTTAAAAAAAAAAACTTTAAGCAAGGGGCTGGGTCTGTGGCTCAGTGGAAGAGTGCTTGCCTAGAATGTGTGAGGCACTGGGTTCAATTCTCAGCACCACATATAGATAAATTAATAAAATAAAGGTGCATCAACATTTAAGAAAAATTTAAAAAATAAAGAATAGGAAAATTAAGTATTAAAAAAAACTTCAAGCAAGGCACAGCATGTGACATGATTTTTCTTAAAAGAAATGAGTTACAGGGTGTGGGGGTGCACACCTTTAATTGAACTGATTTGGGAGGCTGAGGCAGAAGGATTTCAAGTTTGAGGCCAGCCTGGTCAACTGAGCAAGGACCTGTCTCAAAGTTATATATATACACACATTTGGTACCAGGGACTGAATCCAGGGTTTAACCACTGAGCCACATCCCCAACCTTTTTAATATTATTTAGAGACAGGATCTTGCTGAGTTGCTTAGGGCCTTGCTAAGTTGTTGAGGCTGACTTTGAACTTGTGATTCTCCTGCCTCAGCCTCCTGAGCCACGGGTATATGTGTGTGTGTGTGTGTGTGTGTGTGTTTGAGTTGCTATAAATATATTTGAGTTTCAGTGGTTGCCAGGAGCTGAAGCCGGAGGTGGAGGGAATGGGAAATTATTGCTTAATGCGGATAGAGTTTCAGTTTGAGATGATGAAAAAGTTCTAGAGATGGATGGGGGTGATGGTTGCACAATAATGTGAATGTACTGAATTGCTATGGAGAATTTTACCACAATCAAAATATCATGGCTATGCGACTTGATGTACATCTGTAAGCCCAGCAACTCAGAGGGCTGAGACAGGAGGATCACAAGTTTGAGGCCAACCTGGGCAATTATTTATTTATTTATTAGTTGTCAATGGGCCTTTATTTTATTTTATTCATTTATTTATATGTGGTACTGAGCACTGAACCCAGTGCCTCACACATGCTAGGCAGGCGCTCTACTACTGAGCCACAACCCCAGCAGCCCCTGGACAACTTATTGATGTCTCTAAATAAAAGTCTAAATGGGGCTGAGGTAGTGGAACATCTCTGGGGTCAATCCCCAGTACATATGTACACTCAAGTTGTTCCAGTACCAGTGGGAATTGATTCCAGGAACTCCCAAAATATATTAAAATCCATGGATGCTCAGGTTCCTTATATAAAATGTGACTACGTTATTCACATCCTCTGTAGACTTATTTTATATTTAAATTTTTTTTGTAGTTGTAGATGGACAGAATGCCTTTATTTTTTACTTATTATTTTATTTTATTTTTTTATGTGGTGCTGAGGATCGAACCCAGTGCCTCATGCATGCTAGGCAAGTGTGCTGCCGTTGAGCTACAGCCCCGCCCTCATTTTACATTTTTATTTATTTTTGATACATCATAATTCTGTGGGACTCATTGTGCCATATTTGTATATGCAGATAACAGTTTGATCAGTCTCATTCCCCAGTTCCTTCCCTTTCCCTTTTCTCCTCTCTCCCCCTACCTGCTTGCTGAAATCTACTGATCTCCTTTTTATTATTAATATTATTATTTTAATTAGTGCATAAGAATTACATACATATAAGTAGGATTCACTGTGGTATTTCATACATGGATGTACCATAATTTGTAGATTTCATTCCCTGTACTTCCCCTTGTTCTCCCTCCCTCCCTCCCTCTTGATGATCTTCCTCATACTCTACTGGTCTCCCTTCTATTTCTCCTACAGACTTCAAATCATCTCCAGATGCCTTATTTTCTATTTTTTGGTACTGGGGATTAAACCCAGGGGCACTTAACTATTGAGACACATCCCAGTCCCTTATATTTGTAAATTTTGAGGCAGGGTCTCACTCAGTTGCTTAGAGGCTTGCTAATTGCTGAGACTGGTCTTGAACTTGCAATCCTCCTGTCTCAGCCTCCCAAGTCACTGGGATTATAGGCGTGCACCAAAACCACACCTGGCTCTAGATGAAAATACCTAATAAAATGTATACACAATAAAAAGAATTGCTATACTGAGAATAATGACAAGAAAAAAAAAGAGTCTGCACGCGTTCACAAAGACGCCAAACGTTCCCCTTTTGCAGTGCTGGGGATGGAGCCCAGGGCCCTGTACATGGAAAGCACCTGATCTGCGGTTGGGCTGCACCACTGCCCCTAAACACAAATTTTCCCTCCAAATCTTTTCAATCCATTATGGGTTGAGTCTGCAGATATGGAATCCAGGATACTGAATCTGTCAATAGGGAGGACCCATTGGACAAAGCCATTCTACATAAGGGACTTGAGCGTCCATGGTTTGGGGTATCCATAGAAGAACCTGGAAACAATCTCAAGAACAGTCGTGCATCCGTTTGCCCTGCTCACCACCAACATCTCCCCTATGGACGGTTCCTTCACTGCTAATTTGCAGAATTTAGACCTCCCAAAATGGCCTGTCTCTGTGCCTCTAGAAACATGGGTATGTGCCCGTAAGCACATGGCACATTCAGAGTTGCCAGCTGGCAGCGCGGGGCCCTGTCTTCTTTAAGCACTCACCTCTCCTGACCACCACAGCAAAAGCAGCCAGACCAGTGAGGAGGAGGAGGGCTCCAGCCAGGCTCAGCGAGAGGGCCAGGATCCAAGTGGGCACTAGAGGAAAACAGGAAGAGAGCGAGTGGGCAGGCCAGGAGCTGCGGGGGAGGGTGGGGCCTCTGTCATCTCTCCAGGCTACTTTGAGGTGCCAGCCCTCTCCAAAAGGACCTCCTCCCAACCATGAGATTTGGGTGTAGCTGGACCCTGGGAATCAGCCAATTAGCATATATCTGGCCAATTAGCATTAGCATATTTCCTCCCCCTGTCCCTGTGATTGGTTCAGACATGGAGTGTGGCCCAAGCCAAGACAATGAAAGGTAATCCTGGGATTTTGCAGGGCCACTGAGAGAAAAGGATTATTCCTTTGGCTTGTATTGTATCCCTCTGATAGGATATTTCTCTGGGGCTTCTGGGCATGATTTTGCTACCATGATGTTGGGGACCTGCCTGAAAATAAACCTAGAACAAAGCCAAGTTGAGAGGTGGCAAATAATTCCTGACAACTTCAAGCTTCTGGATTCAGCCACGCCTGAAGCCCTAATATGAACTGACTTCAGTTCAGTAAACCAGCGAAATCTCCCTTGGTTTCTGAAGCCAGTGTGAGTCAGGTTTTCAGTTACTTGCCACCTGAAGAATCCTGCTTGTCCTAGCTATGAAGGATCAGTTGACATCCACCCCAAGCCACACAGAGATTCACACAGAGGTCAGCCACCGGGAAATAGAAGCCAAGTAAAGGACTCAGCTTCCCTCCTGGAAGAGAGAGAGGATCTCTTGAGGGCCCTGGGAGGAGGTCCCCTGACCCCAGTGGAGGTCAGGAGCTGTAGAGCCGAGAGGGGAAGGAAAGATGTACGGGGAGATTCCAACAGTGTTAGGCCTTGTCCATTCATTCGCCTCGGGTGGGAGGGCTGTTGTCACCTCCCCACTCTCAGACCACAAGGCTAAGGTGAGAAAAGGGAGCCTTTGACAGAGGAGCTTAGGCCAGAAAGGACACAGAGAACCCTCTGTCATCACAGCTCGAAGACTGGCTGGTAATAAGTTCTTCTTTGCAGTGGGAAAGTCCTGGTGATGGTGGGATGGAGACACTCCCTCCTCCTTCTGCCCCCTCCCCTGCCCCCCCCAGTCTCCCCGCCCCTCCCCATCTCCCCTGTGGGGTGGGGGGCTTGCTGGGAATTGAGCCTAGGGCCTGTGCCTGCCAGGAAAACACTCTACCACTGAGCTACCTCCTTAGGCCCATCCCTTGGCCTCTTGATCCACAACCCATGCCCAACTCCCTCTCCTGGAAAGACCAGAGAAAGACATCAGCCCTCCCAGGGCTCCCTTCTCAGATGGAAAGCTAAAGTCCTTGCTACAGCCCACTAAGCTCTATGTGATCCTTCTCACCACCTCTCTTCCCTCCTCTCCCCACACATTCTTCCTTGTTCACCGTACTTAAGCCATTCTGGGGTCCTCTATGCTTCTCAAACACCCAAGGCACGCTTCAGCCTCAGGGCCTTTGCACAGCCTATTTCCTCTTCTTGCTATACTCTTGCCATAGAAATCCACATGGCTGGCTCCTTCTCATCATTCAGATCTTTCTTTTCTTTTTTTCCAATATGGGGTCTCACTATATCACCTCACCTGGCCCCAAACTCCTCAATTGAAGTGATCCTCCTGCTTCAGCTTCCCAAGTAGCTGGAACTACAGGCAAGCCCTACCACAATGGACTTTATTCAGATCTTTTCTCCAAATAACTTCTTCAGACAGGTCCTCCTTGGTCACTCTACTCTCCCCTTAAAATGACACCTTCACCAGGCTGTGTATCATCCTTGGGCACTTCATTGGCACACTGAATATTTATTGGATCCTGGGTTTATCATCTGTCCCACCCCCTGGGAACATCTGTGGAAGGAGGGCAGGAACATTGTTTTGTTCCCTGCTGGACCTCCAGGGATAAGGAGAGACTCTGATGCACAGTTGATGAGCAAACATGTTGGGTCCAGGAAGGGGAAGGTGCGTTGGACGGTGGAGATATTTTTTTCACTGCTGAGCATGAAACGCAGGACTCCCATGTGCTAGGCAGGTGCTCTGCCCCTGAGCTACTAGCACGGAGGCCCAAGGTCTGGAGTTTGAGGGGCTGCTGGCCTCCCAGCTCTGCTACCTGTGTGCCTTGGGCAAGTCCTTGTGCATCTTGTGCTTCTGTTTCTTATCTACAGAAAGGACAATCCTGCACCCACCTTGGAGGGAAGCTATGAGGACAGACAGGGAAAGGTGAGAGACCCCTGGCCAGTGGTAGGCCTGGCCTTCCTGTGACGACCTCCCAGGAGAGGGAACAGCATCTGCCGCAGCTGGGTGAGCCCAGGGGAGGGCTTACCTGGGAAGGAGACGTGCACCGGCTGGCTGAGGTCTGACAGCTGGGGCTGGCTGTGCTCGCCCACCACACTGTACTGGCACCAGAATTTCCCTCCAGAAGCCGCGCCACCGCCGCTCAGGTTGAATGTGACCCCCAGCTGGTTGGCTGGGGCCTGCAGGAGCTGGACAATCTGTCCCTCTCGGTACAGCGTGAAATTCACCCCCAGGAAGTCCTTGGGGGCTGTGCATGAGATGTGGATGGGGTCCTCTTGGCTCTTTGGGTAGGGGGGCACCAAGAAGATGGCTGGTGCTGGGATGGCCAAGGAACCTGCAATGCAGGATCAGGGGAGGTGGCAGTGTGGGTGCATGTTGGAGAGCACTGTGTGACCTCTAGCAAGCAGGTCACCTTTCTGGACCTTGTTTTGTTTTCATTTTGGTTCTGGTGCTGGGGACCCAACCCAGGCCTTGCGCGTGCTTAGCCTGTGCTCTACCACTGAGCTGTATCCCCAGGCCTTGGGCCTTGTTTTTTTGTGCACCAGGAGGCGGGCAATCTCTCCCCACTGCAATGTTCAGAGCATTGGGTGCCTGGTGCAACACGGGGGTCACAGTGATGATGACCTTGGTTATTATATAGTGTCCCAAGTACACTACTTCAATCAGCAATGCTATGCACCAGGCCCTGTTCAAGGTGTTGGGGACAAAGTAATGAAGGAGACAAATGAAGAGACATGCTCGTCTCAGGCAGCTGATGTTCTTTCAAAGAGACAAGGAGTTCTGGGCAATGGGAGAGTTGCATGGGCTGGAGGGCTTCCTGGAAGAGGTGTCATGTAAGTTGAGTTGTAGCAATGAAAGAGTGGCATGAGCTGGGTGACAGCCTCGAAGGCCAAAGTGATGGCAAGGGCAAAGGCCCAGAGGATGGTTGGACATGGGGTGAGCTTAAGGAGGGGTAAGTCAAACTGGGGGCACCATTCAGTGGTAGAGCACTTGCCTACCACACGCAAGGCCCTGGGTACTGTCCTTAGTGGAAGGAAGGAAGGAAGGAAGGAAGGAAGGAAGGAAGGAAGGAAGGGAATCCAGGAAAGGTGAGGAGGCGGGTAGCTGGGGGGAGTTGAGCAAGGGAGAAAGCAGCGCGGCAAATGGGGGGAGGTCCCACCTTCTCCCCAGGGTGTGCCGAGGAGTGTGGGGCTGGACTGGGGCTCCTGCAGAGGAAGCCGCACCCAGGGAGGAGTTGCTCTCCAGCTGCCCAAGGCCCCCAAGCAGAGTGGCCCCCCATGGCCCCTGTGGCTAGTCTGCCCCCAGGCAGGCGCTCCTGCTGCCCCCACTCCTGCTGTCAAAGGCAGGAGCCTGTGGAGGCCAAGTGGGGCTGAGGCAGGGGCTGTAGGCAGCTCTCTTGACTGGGACACGAGGAGGAGCCTAAGAAGAAAAGGCTGAGAGGTTTCTAACGCTCTCAAGCAAATCAGTCCAGGATGAGCCTCCTCCATCACCGCGGATGAGCAACCTCACTTGGGATCTGTCCTCAGAGCAGCGACATGGGCAGGAGACGGGGGACAGGCTGGGGGTGCCGGAGGGGCCGTTAGACTCACCAGCTGCAAAAAGCAGGACAGTCCAAGGCATCTCTCCTCCCGCGTTTGGCCGGGAAATCTGGCTGGGACCAGAGGGTCCAGGGCTCCCCGCCAGCTCCTCCTGTGAGGCCAGAGCAGGGAAAGGAGAACCAGGGCTAATTCGAGCTGAATGTTTCCTCAGTGGCAGGAAGTTGCACACACACTCAGGCACTGAAAGGGACTCTCTCTTCTCCCCACCCCTTCCCTAAATGCACAGCACAGCGGACCAGCCCTGTGCAGTTCTGTAGATTGGAGGGAGCATGACTGAGATGGTGAGGTATTTGTTTTTCCCCTCCCTCCACCTAAGAGAACTCCCATGCCCGAGGAAGGGTGGCAGCAGGGGCTACTTGGGAAACTCATGCCCAAGGCAGAAACCACAGCCCAAGCAATGGCAAGACGGAAATAAACGTGGGGTGCAATGTGGTAGGGCATGGTGGTTAGGGTTTGGCCTCTGACTTCTCTGAAGCTTCAGTTTGCTGCCCTGTCGGATGGGGCTAAGATGAGTGGACATCAGATTGAAAGAACTCATGGCATAAGACAATGCTAGGGGGCAGTGAGTGCTCCCAGTCGGCATCTACAGGGAGAAGGCTCTGGGCTTCACCAACAGGGAAAAAGTGATACTTGTCTAGAATTGAGGAAATGGCATAGTTTGCAGGATTTATTGCCTCCTGTTTATAGCCCAGAAACTTCTAAGTTTCTGTCTTATGGGTAGATGTGCTTTGGTCTTGCTATATGTTTTTGTTTAAGCCAAACAGCTCCAGCTGGTGATTCACACTGAGAAGGAGGCAGCATATGGTCACCAAAAGACAAAAAAACATTAGAATGGACTTTTTCCTATGGACACACAAAGCTCATCCCAGCCCCAGGGTATTTGCACTTGTTGTTTTCCTTACCACACTTCTCTCAACCTGGTGGAATACCACTTTTCCTTCAGGTCTCAGCTTAAATATCACTTCTGGAAAACCATTCCAAGCTCCTCTGGACTCTTCCCTTATTGAATTTTTCTATACTGCCCTGTGATCTTTGTTTGTTGCAACTGCATTTTTATTTATTTATTTATTTTGTGTGTATGTTAGTTACTGGGGATTGAAACCGGGGATGCTATACACTGAGTTATATCCCAAGCCTTTTCTTCTTCTTTTTTTTTTTGATACCAAGGATTGACCCCAGGGATGCTTAACCATTGAATCACTTTTTAATATTTTATCTATTTATCCCCAGCCCTTTAAAATAATTTAAATTGTATATGGACACAATACTTTTATTTTTATGTGGTGCTGAGGATCAAACCCCGTGCCTCACATATACTAGGCAAACTCTCTACCACTGAGCCATATTCCCAGCCCTTTTTTATACTTTATTTAGAGACAGCATCTCACTGAGTTGCTTAAGGCCTTGCTAAATTACTGAGGCTGGTTTAGAACTTTTAATCTTCCTGCCTCGGCCTTGTTAGACCCTGGGATTACAGGGTACATCAAGGTGCCTGGCTTTTCTTCTTGATTAGTCTTGCTAGGGGTTAATTTTGTTCATCATTTCAAAGAACTAACTTTTGACTTTTTTCTCCCTCTATTTTCTATAATTTTTTGGGGCTTACCTTTAATCTCTTCTGCCTTTTAGTTATCTTGTGTTTAACTGGCTCTTCTTTTTTTAGCTTCTTAATATGGGAGTTTAGGTTATTTGTCTTTAAACTTTTCTTTATGCTTTTCTAAATATTTTTTTTAGTTGTAGATGGACACAATGCCTTTATTTTGTTTGTTATTATATTTTATACAGTGCTGAGGGTAGAACCCAGTGCCTTACATGTGCAGAGTTGCTCTACCACTGAAACATAACCCCAGCCCTTAAAACTTTTCTTTGAACATTTTTTATTTTAGTACCAGAAACTGAACCCCAGGGTGCTTAACCACTGAGCCACATCCCCAACCCTTTTTAAAAAAAAATTTATTTTGAGACAGGGTCTAACTAAGTTGCTGAGACTGCCATTGAACTTGTGATCCTCCTGTCTCAGCTTCCAGAGCTACTGGGATAACAGGCACGGGCCATTGCACCCAGATAAAAACTTTTGTTCTAAAGCATTTAAAGCTATACATTGCTCTCTAAAGCACTGCTTAACTTCACCTCACACATCTTTATATACTGTGCTTCGATATCATTATTAAATATTCATGTTTCCTTTTTGAATTTTTCTATGACCCAAAGATTAATTGGGAGTACGCAGTTTACTTTTCAAACATTTGGGCTTTTTTGGTAGCTTGAATGTTAGTGATTTCTAATTCCTATGTGGTCAAAGAATATACTCCATATATTTCAATCCTTTGAAATTTATTAACACTTTTTAATGATCTAGCAACCATATCTTGATTCACATTGGATGTGTAATAGAAATGAAACTGTACTCTGCAGTAATTTGGAATAATATCAATTATTATTCCAATTATATCAGTTATCTGCAATTATCAATTACATCAGGCCACTGTGGGTCAAGAACATTCCTCAATTTGTTGACTTCATCCTGATTTCTTTCTCTCTCTCTCTCTCTCTCTCTTTTTTTTTTTTTTTTTTTAGGTGTGGGGAGATACCAGAGATTGAACTCGGTGCACTCAACCACTGAGCCACATTCCCAGCCCTTTTTTGTATTTTATTAGAGATGGGGTCTCACTAAGTTGCTTAGCACCTTGCTCTTGCTGAGGCTGACTTTGAACTCGACATCCTCCTGCCTCAGCCTCCCAAACTGCTGGGATTACAGGTGTGCACCACCCCGCCCGGCTATCCTGATTTCTTTAAAAAGTTTTCTTCCTCCAGGAGTGCAGAGTTGCAGTCTATGATGTCACCTGTAGTGTCTATAAAGCTTGGCACACAGTGAACCATAAATATTTCTCCATTGTCTGACCTAAAACTTGTAAATCACTCATTCATTGCATTTGTTTTTGTGACTTTATGCTGGGTGCATAGAAGATGGAGTTAAGAAAGACTTCTCATTTACTTATTCCTCCAGCTATTTATCCAGGGTCACCAAAAGCCCAGAATTGTGCTGGGTGCCGGATATGTTGTGATAAGTGAAATAGCTCCTGTCCTCAAGGAGCTCAGAAGTCAGTAAGTCAGACAAGTAAGTGACAACAGCGGGCTAGGGACATAGCTCAGTTGGTAGGGTGCTTGCCTCGCATGCACGAGCCCCTGGGTTCAGTCCCCAGCACCACCAAAAATGTAAGTGAGGAGATGATGAAGTTGTATTGCAGTGATGGTGAGGGAAGCTCACTCCGGCTTCAGAAGGTTCAAGGGAGCCTTCTGGCAGGAAGGAAGGGAATTCTAAGTAGAGCAAGTATCATGTATGTAAAGGCTTCATCCTGGGAGCAGTTCCCATGGTGCTGGAATCAGCAACCTGGCATTTTTAATTCATTTGACTCTTGATGGATGATGCCCTCAAAAACCACCGAGGAGTGGGGCTTGGTGGCGCACACCTGTAATCCCAGTGGCTTAGGAGGCTGAGGCAGAAGGATGGTGAGTTCAAAGCCAGCCTCAGCAAAAGTGAGGCGCTAAGCAACTCAGTGAGACCCTGTCTCTAAATAAAATACAAAATAGGGCTGGGGATGTGGCTCAGAGGTCAAGTGCCCCTGGGTTCAATCCCCGGTACAAAAAAACCAAAAAACCACTGAGGAGTCATGGGCAGGGTGAAGGGAAAACAGGGATGGTGAGGAAACCTCAGGCCAGGGGGCTGTTACCACCTGTGGAACAGGAATTGTGGAAATTAGTTTCAGAGCACTATAGTCACAGGTTTTGGTAAAGAGATGCAGACCAACTAGGCAGGAGCCAAGGAATGCAGACCTAGGCTTCCTTCTCTGCTAGCACTCAGATAATCCACCAAGGCCAAGCTCAACTGCAGGTGAAGGGGTAAAGCTCTCCTTATGTGTGGCTGTCAGAATCCTGGGGCAGGGAGAAATGCAGGGGAGGGTGAAGGGAGAACAGTGACTGCCACACACTCACAGAATCCTTGGGTTGTAATCTCTGGGGATCACTGACTTCTGGAAGCCAGTCTGCAAATTCCTCGAGGTTCTAAGAAACACAGCAGGCTATGACTCTAGGCCAACACTACAAAGTGAAGAAGGACCCTTGATGTGGCTCTGATGGGCTGTTTCCATCTCTTAACTGATGTCTTGTCTCACCCTGGGCCTTCTGGTGTTCCTTATGCCCCTGAACTTCCCTAGTGCCTTCTGACCTCAGGGTCCTGTTCTCTCCCTTCCACTTCAAACCTCATCTTATATCCCACTTCCTCAGGTAAGCCCTACTTGATGCCATTCAGCCTAAATTACCAACGCCATCACCATCTACCACCCAGCTTTTACTTCTTGGTGCCCATGGCTACCTGAAATCATGTTAGTGCTAAACTTGCTTGTCTGTTTTTTGTCTCCAAACTAAGACATCGGCATCATGAGGACATGGACAGTGTTGGTTTAATTCAGTGTGAGATGCTCAGCAAGTGTTGGTTGACTAATTGGGGAGGGGGAGAGTCTTTGTTTGTGTTTAGTCAAGGGGCATGAATTACCCACGTAGATCCTAGAGGTCAGCAAGAATGGAAGAGTATCTCCGAGGGCCCACCCCATCACAGAAACAGTAAGACAACAAAAATGCTTGGAATCAACTTTGTCTGAACTCTGAAAAACAAAAGTTTAGGTAAGCTAAGTGAACGTTCAATACATTCAATCAAGAAAAAGACAACTTGAACGTGACAGGAAAGCTTTACCCTGTCTCCTTCCCCAGCACAGCAGAGATCTTGAAGGGAGCAACCTATGTTCCCAGTAGGAGACCTACTGGGGAGAATCCCCATTCTTCAAGTAAAGTGTCTGACTCAGGTGTCTGTTGAACTCAAAGTGCATTCCTGGTTGAAAGAGTCGCTCAGTGGTAGAGTGCTTGCCTAGCATGTGCCAGGTCCTGAGTTCAATCCCCAAAACACACACACATACACACACACACACACACACACACGAAAACAATGAACATGCATAAGAGACACGTGGTCAGGAAAAACCTAAGAGGCTAAACCCAGAAACTCAGGAGGCTGAGGGAGGAAAATTTCAAGTTCCAGGCCAGCCTGGGCAACATAGCAAAACACCGTCTCAGAATAAAAAATAAAAAGGTTTGGGGATATATAGTTAG